AAGGCGGAATTACACTACCGGTTGCGGGCTCTGTTGCGGTTGAGGTTACGGTTGATGGTTGCGGGTTGACCGATCACACTACAAACTGGCTGATATTGGTCTGTTCTTTTCAGCTGCACTGGTGCAATAAATTAGAGTGAAATAGTGTGCTGAGCCAAATATTGAAGTCGTGAAGTTGTATTATCACCTATTTTTATTATAAATCAACAATGTCAAATATTATTGAATTGTTAATAAAAAAACATAGATATAGACTTTCGTGTGCATGTCTGCTGCTTCTAATAGCAATAAATAAGGAAAAATATCGATTAAAACGTTCTGTGTGGGTTAAGCCGTATTTTTTAAAAAGAAAAAATATTAGTATGCATAAAAATTTATTTCTAGAGCTTGCACTTGAAGACCCGAATCGATTTCGTAGGTAGGTAAAATGTAATTGTTACTAATTTATATACGTTAAATGACCGTGAGAAAGTGTGCAGAAGAATTACTTTGATTAGAAAGTAATGATGATTTGAAAGCAATGATGATTAACAATTGTTTGCAGATGTTTGCGCATGGATACTGATACTTTTGAATATCTTCTTGAAAACATTACACCTCTCATTGAAAAGAAGACGACACATTTGAGAGAATGTATACCTCCTGCTGAGAGACTCTCCGTCACTCTGCGGCATTTGGCTACTGGTATGTTACACAAATATGAATATAATACATATATATATCTTTTCTTATAAAATAATTAATTTTTATTTTATTAATAGGAGAATCACAGGAATCACTTTCCTTGCAATTTAGAATTGCACAAAGTACTATATCAAAAATAATAAGGGAAGTTTGTGCAGCACTGATCTATGTTTTGAAAAATACATTTCTTCGAATGCCAACATCTGCAGAAGAGTGGAGCGTTGTTGCTGAAGATTTTGGAAGGAAATGGAATTTTTATAATTGCATTGGTGCGATAGACGGCAAACATATACGAATAGATCCACCTGTATCATCGGGTTCAGCCTACTACAATTATAAAGATTTTTATAGTATTGTATTACTTGCTGTCGTTGATGCACAGCTGAGATTTATTTATATCGATTTAGGCACTAATGGGAGAATGAGTGATTCTTCTATATGGAACAAATGCAGTCTCAAATCTCATTTACGCAGCAATAATCTTCCTTTGCCTCAGCCATCTTCACTTCCTGAGTCTGACATTAATTTTCCTCATGTACTAGTTGGTGATGAGATTTTTCCTCTGACAACTAAGCTACTTATTCCATATCCAGTAGATCAATGCCGTAATCGTGTTGACAGGAAGATCTTTAATTACAGGTTTCATATAAATTTGTATATTTATACTATTAAATCTAAATTATAAAATTGCATAATAATGTATGTTATATATGTTAATGGTAATAAAAAGAAATATGTGCTGCATTATTTTTATAGACTGTCACGTGCCAGACGCTGTTCGGAAAATGCATTTGGAGTGTTAGGTGCACGATTTCAGATATTTAGAACAACTATGAGATATGATCCTGAAGAGGCAATTCGAATTACAATGGCATGTTGCTGTCTTCATAACATGTTACGTAGTCAATGTACAGGCCTTGCTATGTATACCCCATCAGATTTTCTTGATGAAGAGGACATATTAACAGGTTTGATAAGACCAGGTGAATGGAGGCAACAAGTAGCCAGCGGCTTAGCACCAATAAGTCATCAAGGTGGAAACCGTCATGCAAATGATGCTCGTATTCTTCGAGACATGTGGACTACATATTTTAATGGACCAGGAGCTGTGCCGTGGCAAGAAAGAATGGTACTTGGTGAAAATGTATGCAGATAAAACATTGTACAATTTTTAAGTTGTTAATTTAGATTTATTGCAAATAATCAGAAAAAAAATATACTTGAAATTAATAAAAATAGTGATTACTGTAGATATTATTCTTTATTTTCATCCTGTCATATTCGTACATATCAAAATTTGTAAAGTTCACAGATTATCAAAGAATATTAGCAGATATAAAAAATATTATACATAATATCTTATTATGTATTGTAGTATTATTATAAAAATAAGTTTTGGTCACTTCATGAGCTATCTGTGAAATAAATAATGCAAATAATATTACATAACTAATAAAAAATAGAAAATAACGCTTATTTGTTACGTCTACTATTATTTTCAAAAATCATATAATTATCTCATGAATTCGTGAAATCAGAAATATAATTGTACAACAATTATAACTATTAAATAAAAAATATTAATTATAACATATGTACGCCATTCTATGAATATAATTAATACCATTCAGTAGTATAACAATGGTAAATATATAAATAAACTTTCTACAATACTATTCTTAATATCACAGTTTGTCTGCATTTCAACATATATAAATTAAGTAACTTTTAAACTTAAAATATGACAAACTAGAATAAGCAGTACAGTAATAATAGACATTAAACAGTCTTTAATGGCACCTCAATCAATTTAGTATCAATCAATATTATGCTGTTATGGAAGATCCGCTAGTCATAAATTGATTGCTACTGGTATCATTAGGGACAATTAATATTACTTTTTGATTAGAGATAAAGGTAATATAATATTTAATTAAATAATATCTAAAAATATTTCTTTGATCAAAAAGAAATCACTGTTTTTAACAGCTGTTACATCTTAATTTTTTATAAATAAATTGAACGAATAAGTACAGCCATAAACAAAAATTACCACATAAACAGTGAACACGAAGTAAAATTGAGTAAAATAGGAATTTATATATCTGTCTTAACGGCACCAAAAACTATTTTCATTATTTCCTCTTCACAGAACTTTCTACGCCTAGGAGACATATCTCTCAATTTATCCGCTATATAGGCTGTAAAATTATCAATTACATCTTGAGCAGGACGATTAGTATACGGAGGGAGAATTATTGGCTGTGAGGCTATTCCTTTAATAGCTTCAACAGCTTCCTCCATAACAAACCCACTCTTTTGCTTCTTGGATGCCCCTCTTTTTGTATACAGCATTTCATCTTTTGCC